CGCCCCCTGCCCCAGCCTGCAGCCCCCTGGCCCGGCCTAGCGCCCCTGCCCGGGCCCCTGGGCCGCACAGGAGCCCGTCGGTGCTGGTTCTGCCCCAGAGGTGCTTGTGTGTGGCGTTTCTGTCACCTCCGGATGAACGTGCGAGTGTTGGGAGAGCCCGGGAAAGGGTCCCAGTAACGCAGGGGGAGAGGAGCTTCAGGTTCGGCCCTTCAAACCCGAGGAGAAGAGGTGGCCGTGTTGGTGTTTAAGTTCACCTGGTCGGTCTGGGCTTTTTTAACCTCCAAACCCCCCACGCTTTTCGGTTCGGTTTCCCCAAACAATTCATTGAAGTCAGAGCTTTGTTACGCTGAAATATTACCCACCCCGGCTTCTGCTGTTCGGTTTCCACCGTAGACTAATGATCTCTAAATATGATTCAAACAGTAAATGGCAGGTTGCCAAAAAACGTGGCGTAATAAGACCACCCAAAAAGGCTTCCCCGTTTCCAGAGCCCACCTCGAGCATCAGCACGTGGTTCTTCGTCCTCAGGGGTGCCAACCAAACCCCGAAACCCAGAAGGACTGTGCCCTACCTGCCTGCCAGCAGCTCAGTTTGTGAACACACCGCGTTAACAGAAGGGAGGGTGGGAAATTATATTCCCTGCTTCTCCTTTTTTTTTTTTAAATCAAGTTCTGACTTTGCACCCAGCGAAGTGCTCGGAAAATTACAGCTACTGCCGGAGAAACATTATCTCGTTCTGCCAGCAAGCAAGAGTTGCTGAAGACGACAGATGGGATTTCACGAGGGAGATCAACAGTTGTTCCCTCCCAGCACACTCCTCGAGAGAGCTGCCTCCTCTCTGCTGGATCAAAGGCAATCACCCACACAGAAATGTGGAAGTAGTTCAACTCCAACGGGGGAAAAAAAAAATAAATACAGAGATTTGTACTTGGTTTAATTGCCATCATGGGGTTGTAAAAGCTTGTGATTATTCAGCAGAACATAATGATGGTTTTTAATTTTTTATTATGTTTTTTGGTGGGAAAATGATGTGCTTCAGCTTGAGCAGGGCTCCTTTTACAGGGGAGTGGTCCCTCTCAAATGACTGTAGGGCGTCACGACTGCGCCGGGCTGCTGGCAGGACTGGAACCTGCTGACAAACCAGCTCGGGGAGAGCTGGCCGTGTGGCTGTGCCAAGCCTGAGCCTTGACACCCCGCCAGCGCAGCGTGGGCAGGGGCATGCTCTGCAAACAGCTCTGCCCACTCACTGGGGCAAGGGCGCGCAGGAGATCCCCGGCTGAGCTGGGAATAGGAGCCACAGAAGAGAAGGGAGCCTCAGTTAGGCAGAATGGCCGCTTCTCCCCCAAATCTTGGAGCCTCAGGCTGGTTTGGTAACAGGGTTTTGCTTCACCTAACAAGGTCTGGCTCTTTGGGGCATGTTGCTTTTAAAAGAGATCTATCAAAAGTTCCCTGCAGACAGCAGATTGTTTCTGTGATTAATTAAGAGTACATCTGCAGTGCATCAAGGGTAGCCTTGTGTATACCACAATGCATTTTTACTGTCAGCAAGCCTTAAATGTTATATACAGTTTCTGTAGCTCTAATACAAGCTTGATAGATTGTGGTTCACTCAGGTTTATGCCCATTTCACATGAAGTGTCCTATTAAGAAACTTCAGGTAACTCCTCTTAAGGAAGCTACTTAGAATGTTAGTAATTTAGTAGAAATAATTCCTAAATTTAAGTGCAATAATTTTGTCCCTGTATTGTGGCTGTTAATATGAACCAGATTACTGTCTGGCAACAGATAGTACTTTGGTTATCCTTCACAGGGTATCAGTGCTGCTCTCTTCTGGGCAGATGATATCATTCTGCTTTTAAAGGCATCCGTGATGCCGTCGATTCTGAAAACTGTGTGTGCTTGTTGTTTGTGATCAGCAGAAAAGGATACTATTTGCTTTTGATGCAGAAGTGGCAGAGTGAAGGAGGACAGACTTCGGTGATGTTCAGACCAGTGAAGCTCACAGTCTTCCTACCTACCACCTGGCACAAAGGAAATGTGCACTACAGCATGTGTGCTGGTGTGTCAACACAACTGAAACTTGGTCCAGCTCCTCACATACCACCCCCACGCCTGTAGTTGTTTTTAGGCCAGAGCTGGGGAAGGAGCATCAGGAGAAAGCCTTTGATAATATTTGTGCCTAAAAGTATTTCCTTGGCTGCCCATGGGGGCCGTAAGTATTCTTTATCCATCTGAGAACGGAAGAAATCTTTATTATTCTGTGTATTATAAATGTGTCAGTTTTCTTGCCCAAGGTTCTTTTCAGTAGCTGCAAAGTCAAATGAAATGAAACTGTTGGGGGGAAGGAAAGCACCACAGGACTGAGAAAGGGATAAGCGTGTGTGGCTACAGAAGGTGTGTGCGGATATAGTGTGCCTACTGTTTTTAAGACAGCATGGGTGAGTCTGTTTATTAAGAAACACCTGTGAGAAACACTATTCTCAGCAAGGCTAGCAGCTCTGCTTTTCCAGATCCAGACAGTAACTTTAAAAAAACCCTACTTGCTCACAGTATGGCAGATAACCCCGGTTTAAAACAGTGTGCATGCAGCAGCATTGGAGAAGAGATAAAAAGTTAATTCTTGCAAGTGAGTGGGTGTTGCAATATCCCAAGTAAGCAACGACATTCCTGCAGTATATGTGGCTTCCCTAGGTTGTGTGGTTTGTCCTACAGCCACTCATAGTCTACCCTGCTTTGTTGAAGCTCTACTCTGCATGAATTTGGCTTGAGCTACTTTGCCATGTCCTGAAAAAAATCTGCTGCTCCATACTTGGAGAAAACAGTTTAGATTAAGCAGATTTGGCAGTATAGGAATATCCAGGAAGAAACAAACATTTGTGTGTGTGTGTGTATGTTTTTTTGTTTGTTTTTTTTAAATCCCTGCAAGTCTACATTCTAACCCAGGCACCATATGCTCCAGGACTAGACACCTCATCCAGCTAGTGAGGTTAAGGAGTACCACCATCATGTCCAGATGCCTTTAGTTGCTATTGCAACCAGCTATCTACCTACCCAGTTTAATAAGCCTTTGCCTATGTATGGATTGAGGAAATGAAATGCTGAACTTGCTCCATATTTTTGTCCCAGAAAATTGCATCATGCTTACATAATTGCAGGCTGCAGGCCTGATTAAACCCGTTCACGTGAATGGTTCCAACAGCCAGTCACTGACTTCAGAACAGACTGTGTAGCAAGGACAGAAACTTATTTTAAAAAAAATAATTTCCTCTGTTCCCTGAAGGCTTCACAGCTTTATGTCTCTGAAGGTTACTTGCTGGTAGGGCAAGTTGCAAACCCACGTGTCGCGTGGGAAGTGCCAGTATTTTGATTACTCTCAGTGTGACTGTGGCCCCAGGATTCAAAGCATACTGATATGAGCAACTATAAAAAGGAGCTCTAAAGCTTGGTGCATGCCACTACAGCCGCCTGGAGAATCAACACTACCCATGGAAATCTCTGCAGAAAGGTTTTTGCACTCAGCCGCCACCATCCAGCTGCATCAGAAAAGAAAGCTCAAGGCTGTGAGTGACAGTGCTGGAAACAGCAGGGAACAAGAAATTATATGGTAGTGCCCTCGGTGGGAAAAACATAGCTAAATTATATGTCCAAAGTGATACAGAAAAAAAATACTTGAACATGATTAGCAGGAAGTGTTTCTACCACAGGGACAAGTATGTCCTTAGAAAAAGGTCAGTAGCTATCACAGTCCAGTAACTCAACAGTGTGGAACTGAGTAAATTGAAAGAGAGGTTCATAGTAGTTAATTCCTTGATGAATCTAGCTGAGGTCAGGCTGCAACTTTGTAAAATGAGACAGCTCACAAAATGAAGTATTTTCTAGATGGCTTTGTTTTATTTGTTTTGTTTTTGCTTATCTATTTGAGTGATCATGAGGGGTACGCTGAGAGCACTTTAAATTCATGCTGATGATGTTTACTTTCCTGGCTGCACGAGTACAGGGCTTATAAC